TGGACATTTATCAAGCTTTGAACACGTTTTGGAACTTTACAAAGTTGTTACCAAGTTATTGAGTTTGAACGTTTTTACAAAGCTTTTACAAAAGTTTTTGATGCTTACAAACTTTCTACAACGTTTCGGATTTTTTCACTCTGTGTCAAAACTTTGTAAACTTTATTCGTTGAAAACTTTGCAAAACGTTGTAAACTTTGTAAGAACTTTGTGAACTTTGTAAATACTTTGTAAATTTGTAAAAGCTGTGTAAACTTTGTAGAAACTTTGGTGAAATTCTAAAACTTTGTAAACGTTCAAAACTCTGCAACAACTGTGTAAAGGTTGAAAAAACTTTGCAAACGTTGTCAAAACTTCGTAAACTGTTGTTAAAATTGTAAACTTTTTAAACACTGAAGCACTTTAAAATGCGTAAACCTTTGTAAAAACTTTGTACACTTTGTAAAACTGTGTAAAAAACTGCGAAAACTTTGTGTAAAAAATTGTAAAATGCGAAAACTTTGTCAAAACTTTGTCAAAACTTTGTGAACTGTGTCAAAAAGTTTGTAAACATTGCAAACTTTGTACACTTTGTACTAACATTTTGTAAACTTTGTAAACAACTTTTAGATGTTGTAGGACTTCGTAACACTTTGCGAACTTTGTAAAATGTTTTTAAACTTCGTAAACTTTGTCAAAACATTGTAAACATTTTGAAAGACCTTGTGAACGTTGTGAAAACTTTGTAAACTTTGAACACTTTGTAAATTTCCTAGAAACTTTGTACAAATTGTGAAACTGTACAAACTTTGAAAAAACTTTGTAAAATGTAGAAAGAAACTTTGTAAACTTTGTCGAAACTCTGTAAACTTTGCAAGACTTCGTAAACTTGGCAAAATCTTTGTAAACTTTCCAAAATCTTCAAAACTTTGTAGACTTTGTAAAAACTTTGTAAATTTGTGTAACAAAAGGCAAATGTCGCAAACTTTGTCAGAACGTTGTAAACTTTGTAAAAACTATGTAAACTTTGTAAAAACTGTGTAAACTATGTAAACTTTGTAAAACTTTGTAAAGTTCTATGAAAGAAGTGTTTTTGCACGATTTTTTGCTTAAAAAGAAGTATTTTCCATGTCATTTGTTGTAAACAGAAGTGTTTTTCACCAGCCATTTGTAAACTTTGTAAAGACTTTGTAAACTTTGTAAAAACTTTGCAAACTTGAAAAACTTTTGTAAACTTTGTCAAAACTTTGTAAAAACCTTGTAAACTGTGAAAAAACTTTCTAAAATTGAAAAACTTGTGTAAACTTTGTAAAAACTTTGTAAACTTTGTAAAAACTTTGTAAACTTGAAAAAGCTGTTGTAAACTTTGTAAAAACGTTGTACAACTTTGTAAACTTTGTAAAAACTTTGAAAACGTTGTAAACACTTTGTGAGACTTTGTAGACTCTGTAAAAATTGAAAAACTGTGTAAATTCCAAACTTTGCAAGAACTTTGTTAAATTCCAAAGCTTTGTAAAATCGTTGTAAACGTTCAATACTGTGCAAAAACTGTGTAAACTGTATAAGTAAATACTGTGTAAAGTTTGCAAATGTTTGTACTTTTTGTAAAAACTCCAGGTAAAAATTGTAAAATGTGCAATCTTTGTAAAAGTTTTACAAACTTTGTACAAGCTTTGTAAACTTTCAATACTTTGCAAAACTGTGTAAACTTTGTAAAAACTTTGTCAACATTGCAGCAACATTGTAAAACTTCCAATACGTCTTTAATTGATTTTTTAATGGTAAAACCTTTGTAAACTGGGTAAACTTAGGAAATTGTTCAAAACTTTGTAAACTGTGTAAAAATATTGTAAAACTTTGTAAACTTGGTAAACGGTTGTAAAACTTCGCAAACTTCATGAAATCTGTGTAAAACTTTGTAAACTTTGTACCAACTTTGAAAGCTTTGTAAAAACGTAGTGAACTTGGTATAAACTTGGTAAACTTTGTCAACACTTTGTAGACTTTGTAAAACATTTTTAAACTTTGTCAAACTTTGTAAGCTTTGTCAACCTTTAAACTTGTAAAACTTTGTAAGAACTTGGTAAAACTTTATTAAGACGTTGTAAAATTCGCAAACTTTGTAAAAAGGTTTACAAACCTTTTACGAAGTTTTGGAGTTCATCAAATTATTCTTCAAAGTTAGAGCAACGTTTTACACAGTCTTTAGAACGTTTACAAAGTTATATATTTTTACAAAGTTATACAAAGTTTACAAAACTTTTGCAAAGTCTTAAGAATTTGTACAAAGTTTGCAACTTTTGCAAAGAGTTGACAGAGTTGTTGAATTACAAACAAATTTACAAAGGTTTACAACGTCTACAAAGCTTTTACCGTGGCCGTTCACTCACTACTCACGAGACAAACAAACCTATGAAATAGTCCTTTGGGTCTCGTATGTTGCCACTAACAACGCAAAAAACAAGACGTGTTTTATACCCTCTCTTAGTTCTGAACAACCAATTCTTCAGAGGTCCGCAAGGGTCAAAAACACTTCTTCTGCGCTAATTCCCCCGAAACAACGAACGACGGTCCCCAAGCAACTTAACAACTGCGGGATACCTTGAAGCTTATATCATATATCATTATATCTAGAAAGAGAGCCCAAAGTTCTACTCTAATCCTTAAGCTGCAATCGCAAGTCCTATAACAGCGGCTCTGAGTCCTAATCTGTAGTCCACACAAAACCGGGCAATTTGATGGTTTGTAATCCGTAATCCTCCTTAGGATTAAGATGGATTAAGGATTACGTTTGATGAGGCCAGATTAAATAGGTATATGGACGGTATGGAAGATGTCAGTGACATTCCGCACGACCCTTTGCTGCTGTTTCTGTGACAAATCACCAAATCGCTTCTTTTTGGGCGCCATCGTGGACTAGGATGCACACACCAAAAAATGGTTTAAGCTTACGCATGTTTACGCACTGCTTACGTGCGGCTTACGCGCACGTTTTTGCGTAAATTGCTCCCCAAATCATGAGATATGACCGATGGAAAGCACGTACCTGCGCCACCCTGGTGTGACTTTTCATGCCATTTCGTGAAATTGCATTCTTTTATCATCGTTTGGCGGAAGACATGTCTTCCAAAAACTGTCGTTTCACATCGCCCCTCCCTTTTAAGATGTGCAGTGTATTGTCTTGTTTGATCTTGGTTGTTTGGTTGTTTGTCTTGTTTGTTTGATTGTTTGTTTGAGTTTTCGCGATCTGTTGCGCCGTTGTTGCGTTGTTGTGCGCCGTTTCGCGAGAGGCATGTGCTGGCTGCTTGAACATATGTCCTCTGCTCGCCTTGTGGTCACATCATTGTTGAAACAACTAATATTTTGACATCCTTTTGAGAACGCAGGTATACATAGAGTATATCAAGTCATGCCACGTACTTGCACAATGCTGGAAAGCCTCTCACGGCTACAGAAAAAGAGCTGCACAAAGGCACAAAGCCATAATCATCTATATGCACACGATTAAACCATAAGCGGATCCTGCAATAGCAACAGCGCAAATCAAATATTCAACATAATAATCATGCTTACTCACTGCTTACGCACACTGCAATGTCATCATAAGCTTACGCAACCTTACGCAACTCAGAGTTTTACTTATATGCAAACTGCTCTTATGTCCGGGCCTTGACAGCTGATCTAAAGACTTTAGCTCTCCACCCGAAGAAGGGTGGATCCACAGGGTGGATCTCACGAGCTGACACCCCCCATGTTCCCTGCTACATGTCGATGGTAATTTTCATGTGTGAGATTTCTCTGACCTCTGCATGTGCTGGGCAGAAACCACCGGGCTATGCAGAACAACGAGTTCCGACGAGTTCACGGTCCCCCCACCCCGGTCGTTGGGGCTTCCGGGCGTGACGGTGAAGGTGGAGCCTTTGCCCACCTGGCTCGACTCGGAGTGCCTTTTCCGAGTCTTCCGACCTCTCGTTGGGGCCCGGTTCGGTGCCAAAGTGGTGGTCTGTGGGGGTCGCCGTCGGCTCGTGCGACCCCATGCGACCCACTCCGAACGGCTGGCCGTCGTCGCCATCGTCCCAGCTCGACTCAATCGAAGGTGCCAAACGCCTCGCTCTGCACCGTGAGGTTGCCTGGTGACAGGCGGAAAGACAAAGTCGGACTTGAGAGCACTGGTTTTGGAAAGGGCAGTAGTGTTCCAAGGGTCTGTTTTCAGGTTCCATGTGATGCTTCAGGGCCAGAAAGAATTTCGGCTTTGCCAAAGAAAATGCATACAAAGCACCCCTGCATCAATCAAACACAGAATTGGACACCTTGAAAGAAAGTTAACTGCTGGTGAATAAACTCAGGCTTGCCTGGTCAACATGTAAATTGCATGACTTGCATCCCGGACAATGTCTTGTACTATTATCACAGTTGTCCCCAGAAATGGTCTATATAGACCCTTCTTGCCAAAGCATATGGGATGATTCCTCTTTGTCAAGCAACACCTCCCCCCAAAAAGAATTGCCCCAAGCGGCTTCTTTCGTAAGCGGCTTCGGTGTTGGGTCTTGGGCGACAGCTGGGTGCTCGCCCTGGGACGGCTTTCCCTAGCAATCTCGAGCAGCAAACTGAAACCCAAACAAATGCGGCTGGCCGTGGAGAAACACGCCTGATATAAAAACCAAAGCACATACGTAGATCGAACAACAAATCAACCATTGAAACAGAACCACTCCCGCAAAACAACACGTCTCAATGAATGTGGATTGTTGATGTACGTGGGCCCCGTGGGCTTCTTTTGGAGTGGAGCCCTTCTCCTTTGGCGCTTTGCGGCTAAAGGATGCTAAAGGGGACATCTGCCACCTCACCACTTCACGAGATCAGGTCACCAGTCACGGAGTCTGAACCACTCACTCACAGTCTTGAACCACTGACTCATACGGATCTGAGCCATTTGGAGCCCCTAAAACAGCCACAAAGTTCACACACGACTCGGCCGGGAGGTTGACCCAGCCTAAACGATACTCTTCATTGTGTCCTCTTCATCTCTGCCCAGTGGTCATCGTGGTCATGTCATGGTCCCGCGCTGGAAAAAAAACGCGTCCACCACCCATCCACGGGCCTCCGTGTTTCACAGCCACTTCCCGGGAGATGGCCAAGCCTAAACCCATGCCCTCAAACTGGCGATTGTCGTCTTGGTCCTGGGCCGAGGACTGAGTCAGCCGTCTCCCAAAAGTTGGAAGACTCGACCGGAACAGCACTGGGGAAAAACAGAAAACACATGTGAAAATTCCAGAAGTGCAATCATTGACTGCATGCACCTTCAACTGAACAAATCTCTGTCAAAGTACAGACCAAGCCGTGCTTTGACCAAAAAGCCTAATAATCATAGACACCTTACATATCTGTCTCAGGGAGTCCAAGCAAAACCAAGTGCTCACAAAAGAAATTATGGCAAGCATCTCAACATAGGAAAGCAACTCCATTTGGGCCACTATATGCGAGTTTCGGACTAAAGGGCCCAACTTCCAGATGTTCCTCCAATATTGGCAATAGGGCTGCAATTGTCTCAAGGAAGGCTCCTCTTGCTCAAAGGGCAGAAAGACTCGCTCACAAGCAGCGGGCGAGATTCCGATGCCTCTGCCAGAAGTGGGGTCGGATACCGCTGATGGTTTCGTATCTTGTAAAGTCGGGATTGATCAACCTCCCCTATAATCCAACCCACAACATCCTTAATTCTTCCATGAACAAGTTTGTCGGTGTTAGAACCCCCCGGGTTGTCTTCGAGCCACACAACGGGTCCATGTTTTAAGCAAATTTTAATAACCGGGAGTTTTTTAATCACACCACCACCCACATCTGCGTCTGTTGCGACTAATCTCCTATTGAATTCATCAATCAAGCCATGCTGATGGATAACGCCGCTCTCATATTTCTTCTCAAAAGGCCTGCCAGTCCAGGCCAGTTATATATCTTATGACTGCTGCTTGGCAAATCGTGTTCCAAATTTACAAATTCCAGAACATGTGTGTAGGCCTCAGTTTACATAGCTTTCCGTGTAAGAAACACAAAGCAACCAATCATTTGAGAATCTCACAAAGTGTACCCTCACAATGGCTAGTACACCTATATAAATAAACACTGTTTCCCCTTAATTTGATCCTGTGTCCCTGGCCTTTTTTGGTGGGTTGTTTCTTATGTATACAGACTACACACCTTTTGCAAAACATCCCTTTGAATCGTTCTCTCCTCCAACCCTTTCACTACTACTAACGAAATACTAAAACACAATTTCTACTACTAGCTTACCACCACCACCAGCACCAGCAGCAGCACCACCACCACTACTATATCAACCTTCCTGTCAGATTGTTCAGGGCAATGGACTCGACCCCAGGAATGGTACTTCAAGCGCTGTTGGTCTTGTAGAGGGGGCGGGGTTTATAAAAGCATGGTTTGCATTCTGTTCTAAAGTCTCTCTGCTGTCGTGGCCTGTGAGGGTTCTAGAGTTCAATGGCCAAGAGCGATGCACAATCTTTTTGGTCCATTATTAACAAAGGCCCCTTCGCGCAATTAGATTTAAGTTTACGAGCATCCCACCAAACAAAAAAACATGTTTAGATACAACTAGAAACCTGTCAAGTATGCTAAGCCGAGACATAGTTCTACACGTGTTCCAATGTGTGGATTTTACATGGTTTTACAAGGGACACACACAAATTATGCAACGTCATCTAACATGATCAACACAATCCTCCATAGCGCGGTTTTCTCCCTACAGAATCGCCAGAAAACCCACTGCAAACACTAAACCTTGAAACAGTTGGTACCCTCCTCGGGTCCCACCCCTTGCAAAATCTATGCGCCCGGCCGGTGTCCCTCACGTGCACCGTGAGGATCTCCTTCGCGTCATCGGCCCGCGCCATGACCTGCGGCGCGAAGAACGCTGGGAGCAGCGAACAGGTTCGCCTGCGCTCGCAAGGTCCTTTGCTTGTCAATGGTAGTATATTGAACCATATACAGTGTTCTCTAACGCATCTCCCTCTCTCTCTGTATTGTGTGATATTGTGTGTATATATATTGAGGCTGGCAGGCACGAATGTGATCTTCAAACAGAAATGTCCAAAAGCTAAACAAAGGATACAACGAGGGCTTTGAGGCGACAAATCTGGGCCCCTTCCTTGCACATAGCAATGTGCTTTCTTGGCAAAGCATGGCTCCTCCGCAATTATGTTTCATGTTGCAAGGCTTTTGCGTGCGTCCTTTGCGTGCTATTTACAGGAGTGGACCCGCTGACCCGGGTTTGGAATTTACAAAGCGGGTGAGGGAAGGCAGTGTTTTTTTAATGCACATCATGTGAAGGGCGGAAGTATTGACTCCACCGTCACACCTGCGGTCACACCTGCGTTATACAAGTCACAAAGGAATCCCATCACTACCTGAAAAGCCCTTCAAACACATCGGCCATACCAAAGCGAACACCTCCAGAAACTAGGGCCTGGAGAAAGCCTACTCAGCTTGCAAAGAAAGGGAGTATGTCACTATTAGTGACATACTCCCTTTTCTCTGCAAGCTGTGGACTCTGTCAAAACACTCTGGGAACACTTGGTTTTGTATTTTTTGGTTCGACACTGATTTGGAACACTCTGGGCACACTCTCCTTTACATGGATTCCTCTTAATGATTGTCTCAAAGCCTGCAACTGGTTTCAACCGTTAAAGCATGAGAAAACAGACGGAGCCTTCGGCAATTAAAAAGTCAATCGTAAATACATATATATATATATATCCATCGCCTTCTCGAAGAGTTATATATATATAAACATTGGCTGCAAACGTGGGGAGCACGACACGAGTCTTAAACGCGGAGCCTGCCAGTGTCTCTGTGAAGGTGTGAATGTTTTTTTTCTGCATTATAAGACAGGTTTGAGAACCATATTTTGTTGAAACATGCCCCTCAAAATGTGTAGGTTGGACATACCAAATGTTCACAAAGTTGAGCTGTTTTCATCTCACCAGCCAATGTGCAGCTCTTTTGTGTTTTTGCAAATGTATTTTCAGGTGAACCATTGCCGTGGAGCTTTTTACACTGTACATGACAGTACATATGCATGTGCAAGGCTTTGTTCAAACCCTGGATGTTGCCACAATTCAACGCATCATGTGGCGTAACACATGCTTCCCATGCCTTCTTCCGAAGAAAAAGAACACGAGAGGTCTCAAGTCCCTTTGCAAACCTGGTCTCTTGTTTAGAGCTGCAAGCCCAACCCCACCCCACCTCACCCCTATCCTCTTCATAGATAACACCAATCTACATAACATCACAACATCATGTTCATAGACGGACTCAGAACTGATCTGTTGGGATGCACCAGCAACAAAATCCTGCGTGACAAAAAGGGGTGGCCAGCACCATCCTCTGCCATTGGCACACCTCGACCACGCCCTCCTTGGTGTACTTGAAGGCCTCAGGGACTTGCGTGAACATCACGTGGCCAAGGACACACAAGTCATGGCGGTCTTTCGTCAGGTTTCGTCAATAGCAACATCCGAAGCCCTTGACAAGCGCCATCAAAAGCCCTTGACTAGTACCCGACTGCCATTTGGCAACGGTAGCGTGCAAGGGTTTCCAACTCATCCCCTGCCATGGTTATCCCTGTTGCTCTGTACTTTTCTCACCAGGACTTGCTTTGTCGATGGTGAATTTCGTAATATATCTTGGGCATGTCATATCCCAATACCAGTACTAGTGGATGATGATGGTTAGTAAAGACCTTTCTCTGGAAATCGTGATATATAATTGTCTAATTTGCCAACTGTTATACAGGTATTGGGACAAACCCAAACTATATCAAACTAATATGTCGCACTACAGTATTTGCCGGCTTTTCTCTATTTGGCAGGATTTCTTGAATCAGCCGTGTCGAGGATTCAGATCAACCGTTCTCTTTACTGATCTTTACCAGAATCTTCCAGATTCCAAGATAAAAATAAGTCTTGCTTTCCTAGTTCGGTCATGAAAATTGCAGATATGGATCTGCTACCTCTTCAGGTTGCCGGGAGTGCTCAAAAACGCCCAAACGATCGGTTGTCGCTCGGATGCCCGACTCCTCCACCGAAAACGCGTCACGACGGTCCCTGGGTACAGGGCATTCGTCACCAAGTTGTAGAGCATCTGCATGCACCGGTGGGCATCCGCCTTCCGTGGCCCATTCTTCGGGAAGGACGGACGACACCGATTTGACTGAAGCCCCCGGAAAGATGTCCCTCACTGCCGCCTTCCCCAAGGATTCCTTGGATAAGGGGATGAGGATGGGTTGTGGAAAGCCTTGACTATCCTTGACTTCTGAACCCGAAGACTTGAAGAAAACCAGTTATATATATATAAGGTAAACCAATCCTTTTTGCGCATCTGGTTGATCCAGGGAAACGCCGGGCCGCGGCCGGCCAGCACATGCCAGCACATCCACCTAAGTGCCAGTTGGGGACCAACGTGGGACGTCCGTGGGCGGACAGGGGGTAGGCCATCCTAGGATAAAAAACCATTCAACCTGGATGCCGTCCAATTTCTGGGTTAGTAATGTAGTCGTGATTGATAATAACGTCCCGAATTTGGACTGGAAGACCTCTTCATATTAGGGTCTTTAATTAGTCTGCATTAGCTTGCCTCAGGAAATCATGCGGTGATCCTGTCTTCGCTTGAACGAGAAGATCAACCTGGTCTTCGTCGTAGAAAGGTCAAGGACTCGACACCACTCATTGCTCTCCTTGCTGGTGATCACAGCCGTGACTGCCAGATTGCTCCGGTCTTCATTTCAGTATGCCTGTGAGACTCGTCTAAATGCAATGGGTTGGAATGATCGCAGGGCATCCTTGAGGCTTAATTGCGCGATTGCTGCTCAAGGAATCAAGGAGCATCGGAGCATACATGTTTATAATGCCAAACATGCGCTATGTGTACAATTCTGTATATACATGATTGTATGTTTTGTGATATACATGATGATATTGATTGCACTAAGACATGGTGGCATACCAATCTTGGCCCATGTTGGCATTGCACTTTCTGGCCTGGGGGCGATGTTGCGATGTGAGGTCGTGCTGGGTTGCACTGAGCTAAATCACTGGAACACAAGGAGCCCAATAGCGTCCTTGCTCCTACGTCCGTAAGGCCAGGAGCCCCGTTCGTAGCGTCCTTGCTCCTAGAAGCGATGCCCTTTGCTCCTAGTAGCAAAAGGAACCATACGCTGACCACCCCATCTGAGAACCTTTTCCAATGTCCTGGATAGGCCCCTGTCCAACTCCCACCTCGATGATAGGCAACCTGGGTGGCGCAGCCGCGGGAAGTGGTGATCGTGGACTGCACATTGCAAGTCAAACTGTTGAGGAAATAGTTGTCCTACCTATTATACCTAATTTGATGGTTGCTCATAGCTCCGCCAACGTTCCTCTTTCTCGCAACTGGGAAAATACAACTGACACATTTAATTAGATTGATATATATATATATATATATATGTTTTTAATTAATCTATTTATTATTTATTTGTGTGTATTTATATTATGTTTACCCCCAGGATCCCCCAGGTTGCCTGCCCAAAGGAGAACCTATTCCAGTGTCTGCCGAGTGCTGTCATTTGGACCCGTCTTGACCTGGTGTTTTGCGGTGAAAAGGGCGGACCCGAAAACACCGTTCGCCGGACCCGGACCCAATCGATCTTGGAGACTCCGCCGAAAGCTGGTGCTTTCAAGCCGAACCCTGAAACAACAAGTGAAACAGGTGACTCCGAAAGCCCAAATCGACTGCGACAAATCCTTACATGGAGGAACAAATCCCAACGAATCACATCGAATCAATGATCCCTTCGAGGACATGTGAGAATTAATCACACATCCTGGAACCGCTGGATAATCCATGAACGGCTTATTTGGCACACTTAGCCTAGTCGCTGGTCCGGCACGTCAATGATGAGCCGCACCGTGTCCTTCTTGATGGGGCGCTTTGCCTCTGGAAGGAGGCGCCGTGTCCACGGCGCCTTGTGCCCCGAGTTCGGATGGGCACATCAAACCAAAGAGGTGGTGAACTCACTCCACGAAACCATGTGATGTGTGTGTATATGAGGACCTCCATGTCAGAACACGTCTTTTCAACCAACACTTGTAAGTTGAACTCTGAAAAAGTGTAGAGTTGCCCCATCTTGGGTTGTTTGTAAAGGACCCTACCAGTGACCTTGGATGATTTCTGAAGCTCCACAGGCCATGATCGACAGACCCAACCAGCGATCATGAGGTGACCAGGTCCTACCACGTGTTCTGGTTGGCCTTTACCAGGTTGTTGGGCTTTGATGATCACGCAGTACAACAAGCACGACAAGTACAACGTGCGCAAATGTGGGCGGCCTCCATTAAACAAAGCAATACATCTACCCCTCAAGAAGTGCAGTAGGGATTGGCCTCCCACATGCAAATGCATACAATGCGTTTGCCATTGTTGTAGTTTCCTTTCTAGTTGGCCAGGACAGTCAATGTGGCATTAAACACATTGCACAACCTTCCTTCAAAATGGAATCCCAAGATGCCCTACAGAACAGTACAGCGCTTGACATTTAGTTTGGCCCGGAAAGGCAGTGTTTAGTCTGTTGTCCGCCGTGCTCCTCATCCAGTGCTCTCTCTTCTCTATTGAGATGCTCTGCATTCCCGCAATCACAGGCTGTTCTGCCAAAAGTGCCCGTCCGCCTTGTCTACGGCGGAGGATAGGAGCACCTGCACCTGAACTTTACGCGGAAAACTGAGTCGTGATATTTGCCATGCTTTTACGGAAGGTACTGCACATAAAGTGTTGCAAATGTCGTTTGTCCTCGCTACTGCGACTCATGGGATGCACACAAGGAGCCTATGTGTTTCCTGATGTCTCCTGTTCTTTTTGTGTGTTTGATTAGTGTTTGGATGGTTTTGGGGTATTATTTGTCCAGAGTTCCCTATTGTTATGATTTCTTATCTACTTGATTGATTGTGACATGGTGAACATGCTGTTGATGTTTGTCTCTGTGCCGCCCTAAAGGCAAAGCAAAACATGGACATTATGACATCATGGTGACACTGTTCCTTGGAGGCACGCACAGCATATCCGATCATACTGTTGGTAGATAAAGCCCAGCACCACCTCACCAGTGCACCCCACGCACGCATCATGCCGGAGACCATGCAGAAAACGGCGGTACGTCTCTGACGGTGTGATGAAGTGCAGGATGCCTTCAATTTGTTTGTGTTTCCTCACTGCCCCTGATGAACCTTGGAGATTCAATTTGCTTGTGTTTTGTCACTGTCCGGTCCAAATGTTTAAGAAGGAGAACGGGGGCAGCAAGAAAAGTGTGCACACAACGGCACAATATTTTGTCCATCAGCCGTATCATGCCATATCAGAAGTTCGACACTTTGGTGCGTTGGTCACTGCACTCTATGATTGGCATATCTGAAAAAATTGTCGTTTCTGCCGTAGGACCCAACACTTACGCTAGACGTTGATGCTGTCTTAGCAGCGTTTGGTTTTTGGTTCAAAATGAAGGGGTTGCTTCGGCAATGGGTGATGCTGCTGTCGGTGTGTGTGTGTGTGGAAAATTGACAACTCAACTCAACCTTTAAGACTAGGATGCCATTATTCAGAGCTCATTCCCAACTGATGTTTGCTGATGGGTCGTCTTTCAGGAGCACTTTACCTGGTAAAAAAATTACCACACACTTCTCACCGAAGTCACACATTTTGCAACAAACGTAAATATTCATCCTCAAGTGGGTGACATTTAAACAGTTCAATCATGCGACCTTCAACTTCAGAAACGTAGATATAACTGATATAACAACACACTTTCTTAGCTTTCTTTTAAACTTGTGTTCGGACAGAAAGAAACGGTCAGTTTTGTCTTTGTTGGCTTGTGGGTTGCTCCCAAATGCCCCAGCAAAGGCACATTGTTAGCTTGCGGATTGCTCCCAAATGCTTCGGCAAAGACCCATTGCTAGTTTGTGGGTTGCCCCAAAATGCTCTAGAAGAGACAAATGGTTGGCTTGTGGATTGCTCCCACATGCTCCAGATGTAACCTCAAACATTTACAATTATCATGCCCATTAGGCCCTCCCCCACAAAGAAGGAAATAATGTAAGAATATCAGAATGTCTCCTCCAAATACGTCTCCCACAATGCACAATGCGGTACATAACACATAGAATATCAGAATGTATCCATCAAATAGGAACAAATGCGAGAAAGTTACTTAAGTAAATTCTAGATTCAAACAATGTCAAAATATGCAATTATTGTTACACAAAAATGCCTCTTCGTGCACAAATGGCTGCAGAAACACAAGCTCACAAAAGAAATTCAACACAAACATAAACAAACACTCGCACCACAAAGATCACGTTCGCAAAACGCCAGACTTTGAACAACATATTCCATATTATGTACCCCTGAACATATTCCAAGTACCCTTTTTGAGATTTCAATCATCTGCCCCCCTAAAAATTATGGAACGTCCAAAATATATTCTATCTACTTGAGGAAGATTAACTATTAGTATGTGACTCCTGCTTGACTGGACCTATGGCCTACCGAATGGGTGAAACTGAAAGGCAGTAGCCACTCAGTAGCCAGGCCCTAGGAATGTCTAAGCAAACTTAGTCTGCAGGATATGTTGTAAGATCCCGAACTGCAATTGATCCAGCGGACCTTTCAATGGAAACCTAGATCGCCTGGGAAATGATTGCCAACACCATTCTTTGGATTCGTGGTCTTGGAGTCAAACAGTATGATGATGTATCATGAACACAACATACTCAGGTTACTGACAGATCCTGGACGCCGAACCACACACTCACTCCGAAACGCAGCATCCGGCAGAGACGCTGCTCGCCCGAACGCCCGCAGCGGCCCGGTGACGCGCCTCCTCAATGAGTTTGCCCATCTGCACCGGATCCCTGGCCCGGTGAAGCCGAGACACCGCGTTGCCGTGCGGGATCATGTTTGTTCGGTGTTCGGGACGCTGTTCAGCAGCGGCTAGCGGCTAGCGGCGATGTTTGAAGCTGACGGTTGAATACTTCGCTATCACCAATGTCGGAGGATAGTGCACCACCATTGGATGTTGCTGAATCAAAGTCAAGTTGTTCGTATTAGTCTCTTGTGGCAAAGCAAACAGTCCCCACCGTGAAACTGCTCTTGAGGGGAAAGCAACAACACTGAGAAGACCAAACTGCTGCCGAACAGTCACATGCCTCCTCATCATGTTTCATTCCCCTTAGTGATTAGTCATGAGTGCGCAACGAGTGTTCTCCAGCCCGCATGGAAATGTCTCAACACGGAACCTCAAACCAAGCTTCTCGGTATACAGTGGATGATTTCTTTTTATTAAGATAATATGATTGAGGCTAGGCATCGGAACCTCACAACATGATGTCAATCCCACTGTCAAATCCCCATCCGAACCGCACTCGCCCCGCAAGGCGCGGCATCCGATTGATCCCTCATGCACCTCGCGAGTCGCAAGCGTTTGCTCTGCACCAGTGTTGACCTACTGCCGACCGGTGTGCCGAAGTTGTGTGATGCCACCGGTCAGTCTGGATCCAAGATGGACTCAAATGCGAAAACGACACGCCAGAAACAAGTGTCGTCAACACTTGACATTCTAATTCAACTGAACAAATTGGTGGACATGACAAATGTACCTGCTGTCGACTCTGTTTCTCCTCTCTCCATGAAGTTTGCCGGCTACGGCAAGCTACCGTGATCCTTGAGAGTGACAAGGAAGCCAATGTGCCCCTGTTTAGACCTGTTTAGGCAAGGTGAAACAAACCAATTGACATGCGAATGATCTGCGGGATTTTGTACATTTAAGATCATTTGAGCATATTTAAGCCACTGTCAAGTAGGGTTTTCAATGGTGTGTGGCGCCCATAAGCACATAAACAGCTTGGTACATCCATAATCACATCCAAATCCACCAGCAACAACTTTAAGTCACGTCAAAATAACTGCCGTGCCTTTGGAGGAAACCGTCTTCAAAAGGAGCACTTCGCACTAGTCTTCGAAGGTCTTCAAAACATGGATTTCGGTCGACTTCCACCAAGTCCAAGTCAATCAAGGCCATGCATCAAGTGAACAAAAAAAGGGCGAAACGAGACGTCTTCCAAACCCGCATTTGGTACAAGACACCCTCCAAACGTGAAGCGGAAAGTCTCATCAAAGCTTCACGCCTTACGCAGCCCTGCCAAGCAGGGCAAACAATCCAAATCCCTCTTCCAGAGCAAAACCCTGGCATGCCAATCGAGCAAACATCGCAACCTCGACTTGCACGAATCGGACATCTGTTATCCATCCATCGATCTCCTCCAAAAGCTTCCTGGCCGAAACACGCATGTCAACTCGAAGTCAACACGGAGTCGGCGAAAGCAGGTCCAGCCCCAGCCTGCGATCAACGGGAACGCTGCGCTAAACACATAATCCGTCCGTATCACTCCATCCAGTCCACATCACTCCGTCCAACCCCCCGATCGGTGGCCGCTTTCCCCTCGGGCGGCGACAGGTCCATGATGTTCATGACCAAGTCGAGCAGGCGACGAGCGCAGTGGCTGATCCTCAGGCGAAGTCGTTTCAACGTGTCTTGTTCTGTCAGGGCCAAACGCCTCCCAATTCCCACAGGCTGGGTCTTGGCATATTGTATATTGTATATACAGTATATAGACACATCGTATAGAATTTCATACAGTATCAAGTCTTCCAAAGGCAGGTTATATATTGTATATTGTATATACAGTATATAGACACATCGTATAGAATTTCATACAGTATCAAGTCTTCCAAAGGCAGGTTATATATATATATATTGATGCTGAAGCTGGACTGCTGCTGCTGCTGCTGCTGCTCCAACTACAATTGTAGCAACAGCCTCCAGACCAGCTTCGCTCGCGAAGCCGCGAATCTGGGCAGCACGCAGCAAGGACGCAGCATGAATCGGGACATGAGATGATATGATATGCTTGCAGGTTGTTCTTCAACTCCCACACGCTGACTGAAGGCAAACCGGAGACATCAAGAAGTGTACGGAGCCGCCGGAGGCCGCCGGAGGCCCTCCACAGTGGATCCGCTGCAGACCGGTCCAAGAAGATCCAAGAGGAGGCCTACGGGCCTAGCCGAAGTGCAGCTCTGCAGCCGAAGTACAGCTCTGCACCGACAAACCTAAAGACCTAAGGAGATTTCTCCTGACAATCCTCCTTCGGTCACTGAGTTTGGCCCTTTGGCTTTGGACCACGTGATGAAACTGATGAAACTGGGAAACAGTTCCTAACTGGGATGGGCTGTTGTAAGCTAATGGATGTAAGCGACTTGGAGTCTCCTTGATGCGTTTTTTTTCACATGACATGACCTTGTCATACCTTGTCTTGTGATTGTACACGACACGAAGCGCACGTGGGATGCAGCTTAGCTAATAGTGACTTGACTTGGCATATGAACAGAGTCTAGCTGTCAACCCATTTTAGTAGAGCCTAAAGGGCTCTCGCGCGTCCCATGCTTGCCTGTCATTGGTTGCCAGGTAATGGTCAGAAGCCATGGACATGAAGGTCCACAAATCCAAGCACTTGGTGACCCGTCTGTCCATGTCGGGCAAACCCGTCTTAAGATAGTTAATCTACTACTACTACAACTACTGCTAATACTACTACTACTGCTACTCCTACTACTACTACTGCTGCTACTACTACTACAACAACTACTACTACAACACTGCTACTGCTACTACTACAACTACTACTGCTACTGCTACTACAACTACGACAACGACTACTACTACTACCACTACTACTACTGCTGCTGCTGCTACTACTACTACAACTACTACTACCACTACTACCACTACTACCACTACCACTACTACCACTACCACTACTACCACTACCACTACCACTACCACTACTACTACTACTACTACTACTACTACTACTACTACTACTACTAC